GGAACATTGACGAAGACTCCAGCAGTAACTTGTTCCAGTCTAAAATTCCTAAGTGGTGACAACTGTGTGACCATTCCCACAAAGTTATTCCCCTAGTACATTCAGTCATGGGACAGTGAACCACATTAACACAAAACACTGTAAATGATCGACACTTGGATCAAAAAGAGCCTGAAGGATTTGCTATTGTACCATATTCACTTAACAATTATTTACTGACTGAATCCTTTATGCCAGGCCCTAGGGACACAAGAGCCTTTACGGGTTTACATTATAATGAGGAGAAGCCAATGAAAATGTGAACAAATAAAAAAGGCAGAATTCAGCGTAAGAAATGCTACTAAGGGACCGAGACAGGATGCTGTACCCCAGCTGTGGGACTGGGGGACGATGACTCTCAGCAAGGCGATCAGTAAGGCTTCCCAGACACGTGCCTATGTCTCCCTACAACGTGATGCCCAGACAAAGCGTCCCGAGGTGGGGGCAGCGGGGGCAGTGAATGCAAAGGGCCTGGGAGGGAAATAAGCTTGGCCAGTTTACCAGATGGTTAGGAGACCAGCCTGGCCACAGTGCAGAAAACCACAAGGTCAGAAAGGGCAGGGAGAGCGCCAGAGGAAGAGGAGGGTGTTGTCGGGCACAGCAGGAAGTCTGGGTATTCTTGTAGCTGCAAAGGGAGCCACCAGAGAAACTGAGGCAGGGAGCAGACAAAAGCTAATTTTAACAGGTCATTCAAGACTGCAAATTAAAAGTGGAAGAGCAGTGTGGCTAGATTAGGGGGGATGGAAGAGGTGATTAATGAAAACCAGACTTAAGGTTTATTTCAGAGGTAAAATCAAAATGGTGTACTGAGGGACTGGATATGGCAAAGATCTACTGATGACTGCACACTGGAGAGATTTCTCACAGGTCTGAGGACCAGAAGGCCCTGGGCTTCGATGAGTACATCTGTCTTCTGTTTTATTACTTTTTTAGACCTTGAGACAATGTGAATTGATGCCCATGTTTTCCTCGGCTTGAGTTACAAGGAAGCTCAAAGCATAATTCGAAGACCAACTCTGTGACTGTACTCTTGTGTACCAACCTCACCCTTAGGGTTTTGTACCTTTCTGTCCTAATTTCCACACCCATTTATTTTTATTTGTGAGATGTGCATATTAGTTTGGCAAGTTACTATATGTGATTTAATGAGAAAAAGTAGTAAAAAACATAAAAGTATGTTCACCATAGCTTGTATTAAAGGTGCCATCATGGGCTGCAATAAAAATGCAGTAAACATGACAGAATCAAAACTCTATGGAAGAAATGCAGTGCCAGAATGGATGGAAGAAAGCCCGACTCTGGATGAAATCCAAGGGGAGGATCAAAGACAGGGGACAGGCACAGACTGTAGAACCAGGGTCCACAAATCTTGGACAAGTCATCACCTCCCTCACTTATAAAATGGTGACTTAACACACCAGTGCCCCCCTCACAGGGTTGATATGAGGCGTAACCTAGTTAATATCTGTAAATGCTTAGAAAAGTAATCCATAGTAGAAACAGTAGAAGTGTTAAAATAAGCTTTGGTGTGAGACACAAAGAGAAGTAGGATGTAAACAGGTGAGGGGCTGAGAAGGGTTACAGAACTGTGGGCAGAGGAATAATGAGAACAAACGTATTGGAAGGACATGAGCACCAACTTCATGAAACAAGCAGTTTCCAGCCAGGGGTGGAACACACAGGAAATATGGCAAAGTAATCAATAAAGACTAAACGGAGTGAGGCCTTAAGAAAGAATACAGGAGGGCTCTGAGTACCTCTTCTATGAAGAGGAATATTACGCTGTAAAAAAGCAGAGTATTTGAAAGATCTGGTACTGAGGAAGCCCATAATCAAATGGAGGAAAGAAGGCAGGGTGTGTGTAAAATGCTCTGCCCAGTGCCGAGCGCTAACCAGCATACTCCATCGCAAAGACAATATTCACTGTCAAGACAATGGAAAGGCTTTCAATGGCAAGCAATGTATATGCGTCATCAAGAGGAATAATTTTTCAACTGGGCAGACAGAGGTGTTTCTCCAGATACTATAATCTAAAAACCAAAAAGCTTCCGCCTTCCTCACCTGTTCATAACATAACATTTTTTTTTTGTTTTTGTTTTTGTTTTGTTTTGTAAAAATGTTTTAATTTTTAAATACAGAGTACATATTAAAGGTTCTAAAACATATTGTGCCAGCTACAAAATACTTCTGAGGGCCACATTTGGCCCAGAACTCACCAGTTTAAGAACTCTCATGTCCTTGACAGTCTTTCTGCCTGGCATAGGCCATGGAACTTAGGGATGACTTTGTCTACAATCCTTTCATTAACAAAGTCTTTTTATTTTAAAGATTTATTTATTCATTTGAGAGAGAGAGAGCACAAGTGGGAGGGGCAAGGGGAGGGAGAGAGAATCTCAAGTAGACCTTGTGCTGAGTGTGGAGCCCCATGTGGGACTCGATCCCATGACCTTAAGATTACCACTTGAGCTGAAACCAGGAGTCGGACACTCAACCCACTGTGCCACCCAGGCACCCCTCATTAATAAATTCTATTATTCCTGGAGCACCTGGACGCCATTAAGCGTCTGCCTTCAGCTCAAGTCTTGATCCTGGGGTCCTGGGATCGAGCCCCGCATTGGGTTCTCTGTCATAACATAACATTTTCAACTTAATTTAAAACCTGACAGCAAGGGGCGCCGGGTGGCTCAGTCGGTGAAGCGTCTGCCTTCGGCTCAGGTCATGATCCCAGGGTCCTGGGATCGAGCCCCGCATCAGGCTCCCTGCTCCGTGGGGAGCCTGCTTCTCCCTCTGCCTGCAGCTCCCCCTGCTTGTGCTCCCTCTCGTTCTCTGACAAACAAATAAATAAAATCTTAAAACAAACAAACAAACAAACACAAAAAAACTGACAGGGAAATTAGAAATTATCTTAGTCAAAACGACAGATCTGGTTTAAGGAACACAGCATCCCCTAAAAAGTGCCCTCAAGAGTGGCACCGAGTGTGCTCTCTTCTCTACGCCCTCTGTTCAGGAGATTCATTCTGTGAATGTTGCCTTCTTTAGAAAAAGAGCCTTTGCAGATGTGATTATCGGAAGCATCTTGAGATGGGAGAATACTCTGAATCATCCCGGTGGGTCCTAAATGCTATCATGTGGAAGAGGGAAGCAAATGGAGATGAAAGACAGACATGACAGAAATCGACATGCAGACAGAGAGACCAGAGTGATGTGGCCACAAGTCAAGGCTTGTTGGCAGCACCCGAAGCTGCAAGGGGCAAGGAAAGGACTCTCTTCTAGAGAGGGGAGCAACACCAACACCTTGACTGTGGTCTGGCCAATACTGATTTTGGACATCTAGCCCCCAGAAGTGATAAATCTCTATTGTTTAAAGCCGGCAACTTTGTGGTAATTCACCCCAGCAGCCACAGGAAACTAATGAAGCAAGTACAGTTGACGACCCTGGAACAACACAGGTTTGAACTGCACGGCTCCATTTTCACACAGGTTTTTTTCAATAAATACAGTAGTGTAAATGCATCTTCTCCTCCTCATGAATCCCTTAGTAACATTTTGCAATATTAGAGTATTTAACACATATAACATACAAAATATGTGTTCATCGACTACGTTATCGGTAAGGCTTCCAGTCAACAGTAGCCTATTAGTTAAGTTTTGGGGGAGTCAAAAGTTGTACACTTTTTGACTATGCAAGGGGTCAGTACCCCTATCCCCCACAATGATCAAGGTTCAATTGTAATTTCTTATGATTTAAAGTAAATTTAGGGCGCCTGGGTGGCTCAGTTGGTTAAGCGACTGCCTTCGGCTCAGGTCTTGATCCTGGAGTCCCGGGATCGAGTCCCGCATCGGGCTCCCTGCTCGGCGGGGAGTCTGCTTCTCCCTCTCCCACTCCCCGTTTGTGTTCCCTCTCTCGCTGTGTCTTTCTCTGTCAAATAAATAAATAAAATCTTTAAAAAAAAAAATAAAGTAAATTTAATGGTAGAAGAAATGAAAATGAAAGGGATTTACCATTTACTGAACACCTAAATAATATCATTAAACCATCAACAGCGATCCCATTATTATTAGCCTTTTTTATAGAGAAAATCCACTTGGTACAGAGCAGATCTGTTTATTTCACATTGCAATAACACCTATTTGTAATTGCTCTCTTTGACCATACACTGATCAGCAACACTCAATAAGAAAACTGACTTTTTATTCCCCCCAAATGAACTTGGAGATATAAAAGAATGCTATTTTATTTCATGCAAAATTCTATCTGGAAAAATATATACAGTCACCAGTGAAAAATCTGTGTTACTTCTTTCTACAGAGTTCTTTTGGATGCAAAGATTAAAAAATTAAATTTTTTCAAATAAATCTGAGATAGTCATATCTCAATATATGGTTTTGCTTAAACGGTCTTATGAATTCATTAAAACATTTTTCATATTAAAAGTAGTCATCAATCCAAAGACAGAAAAAAAATTCCGTGTACCTGGACCAGCTGAGGAGTTTTCAGATGCCACAGAGCATTCTCAGTGAATAAAATGACAACAGGCTTTAGATACTCACTTGGTGCCTGACATTGTGCTCAACACTGGAGATGTGGCAAAGAACTGGCCTAATCCTACACTCAGTGGGGAAGGCACATGCTTCCAGGACCTCAATTTGCATATCAATGCTATTACTTTAAAACAAGTTTCATTTTAAAAAATTAAAAAATTAATGTTAGAGAGATAAATAAACTTGTCTACAGTCATCAGCCACTTAAGTGGTGCAGCTTCTATTGAAACCCAGGAAGATCTCAGTCCAAGCAAAGTGAATCCCCTTAATTACGACATCATAATGTCTGAATATATTCTTGCAGGCTTTGTACTGATACACTGATAGAGCTGCTTGACTATTAATAAAGCAGACATTAAAACTGTTGCCCTGGTACCCTATTCTAACAACAAAATGTTAAGTCAATTAATTACACCTACCTGGTTATTGCTGGGGTTGGTACACCTCTTGTACGCAAGGTGGGTTTCCCTCGAACAATGGGTACATCTGCATTTTCTGAACCACCGTTCAAGTATGTTAATTCTTGGAGCTGTGCTTGCCTGATTTCGTCATTATAGTCCTACACAGAAGACAGAAGAGAGCATAATTCACCTCATGTGAAAAATACAAAAGTATTCAGGACAAGAATAGAACAATTTTTAAAAGAAAAAAAGGGCAAGGGAAATAGTTGAATTCATAAAATAAGATTTGAGATTGTTGAAATGAAAATGCATCAATAAATTGTTGTAAAAAGGAAAAAGAAAACCAAAACAGGATTTTTCCCAAACTAAAATTTTCTACAATCAGCCATTACTCCTTCCGCTGGGCCTACTTTCCAAGTAAGATATTTACAATAAAATTAAAATATGATATACAGACACATGGCATTGTTATTTACAACTCAATTCAACGAGTAGTTACTGAGATCTGTGAAGGGCCACCAACAGAGCCCGAGGAGCAAGCCCAGGTCCCTGCAGCCGAGGAGCACACAACCTGACAAAGCAGGAAGACATACATACCACAGGATAGCTTTACTGAAATTAAGAACCACATGTACACATTCTTCTTGTACATTTCCATTTGGATATACTAGAAAAATGCACCATTTCCAAAAATGCACCATTTCCAAAATATCTTACTCTTGGAAACGTGCTCTTCGTTATCTTACATTATTGTTTAAATACTGAACTGAGAAACCCTGAGAGTCATCCTTGATTCCTCCTTTCCTGAATATCTCTAACCCCATTCAAGAGTCATCAAGAAAGACATGTAATAAATAAATAAAAGTGTGATCTGTTTCACAATAAAAGGAAAATTCAGGTCTAAATGGTCAAAAAGGAAAGTCCTCTAACTCAGCTGTGTGCAATAAGAGCAGGTTTCTCTATAAGAAGTGTCATCTAAGGATGAGTATGAACTAAATACCAGAAAAGCGGCAATAAAGTACTCTAGTTGGAGGTAAAAGCATAGTTTAAGACCTAAAGAAATGGTGTCTAGGGGAACAGGAAGAAGTGCTCTATGGCTGAATTATAAGAATGACTTGGGGTGTGTATGGGGGGGGCGTGGTCTCAAAGTGGAGAGAAAAGCAGAAACCAAATTAAACAAAGCCTTAAGTCATTTTAAATATAACTTTAAAGGTTTAAAATTAAAGGTACTAAAAAGCACTTAATAGTTTTAAGGAGCAGAGTTGCGTATCTAAGTTTATGTTTTAGAAATATTATGAACAATTGTATGCCATCAAATTAGGTAGCTAAGATGACACAATGACAAGGATGAATTCCTACAAAGACACAAACTACCAAAACTGACTTAAGAAGAAACAGAAAATTTGACAGATAAGCCGAGACTAAATTAATACTCAATAAATGTCCTGCAAAGAAAATCCTAGGCCCACAAGACTCTAATGGTGAATTCTACAAATAATTAAGAATTAATGCTAATCCTTCACAAACTTCCAGAAAAATGAAAGAGGAAGGAGTCTTCCTCACTGTCTCTATAAAGCCAGAACCGTCTGGGTACCACAACAGACAAAGACATTACAAGAAAAGAAACCTATAGACGAGTATCTTTATGAATTTAAGATACAAAGGCTCTCGAAGAAAATTAGGAAGCCAAATCCAACAGCATAAACAAAATAAAAGGGGGAAATATACACAAGAGCCAAGTAAAACTTATACCAGAATTGCTAGGTTGGTTTAACATAAAAAAACAATTTATGTAATACCATAATAATAAAGAACAAAAAAATGGTCATTTTAATACAGAAAAAACAAACCATTTGAGAGAAGAATCCAGTACTTTAATGATGGAAACACTCAACAACTAGGAAAACCCATAGTCAACATATTTAATAGTAAAAAAGTAAAAGAATCATCCTAAGATAAGGAACAGGACAAGGATGTCTACTCTCACCCCTTCTAACCAACATCATACTTGAGGTTCTAGTCAGGACAATAATGTAAGAAAAAGAAATAAATGGTGTTCAGATTGGAAGGGAAGAACTAAAACAACCTTTATTCATAGATGGCATAATCCTGTATACAGAAAATCACAAAGAATCCACAAAAACATTATTAAATAATCAGATTACACAAGGTAGCAGGATATAATGAGATCAATATACCAAAATCAATTTTATTTCTTTACAATAATAATGAACAATACAAAAATAAAATTAAGAAAATAACTGCACTACAGGGGCGCCTGGGTGGCTCAGTCATTAGGCGTCTGCCTTCGGCTCAGGTCATGATCCCAGGGTCCTGGGATCGAGCCCCGCGTTGGGCTCCCTGCTCGGTGGGAGGCCTGTTTCTCCCTCTCCCACTCTCCCTGCTTGTGTTCTCTCTCTCGCTGTGTCTCTCTGTCAAATAAATAAAAAAATCTTAAAAAAAAAAAAAAAAAGAACTGCACTACACAGCAGTATCATAAAGAACAGCATACTTAGGAATAAATTAAAATAAGAGCAAGATTTGTACGCTGAAAACTACAAAATACTGTTGGAAGAAATTTTTTAAAACCTAAGTAAATGGAAAGATACCCAGTATTCATGGATAGGAGGACCTAATACTGTTATGATGACAATATCCCTGCCCTGCTCTCCCACCTCCCAGATTGATCTACAGAGTCAAGGAAATCCCCATCAAAATCCCAGCTGGCTTCTTTGCTAAATTTTTTTTTTTTTTTAAAGATTTTATTTATTTATTTATTTGAGAGAGAGAGAGAGAGAAACAGCATGAGAGGGGATAGGGTCAGAGGGAGAAGCAGGCTCCCCGCCAAGCCGGGAGCCCGATGTGGGACTCGATCCCAGGACTCCGGGATCATGACCTGAGCCGAAGGCAGTCGCTTAACCAGCTGAGCCACCCAGGCACCCTTCTTTGCTAAAATTTATATGAAAATCCAAGGGACCTCGTATATCCAGAACAATTTTAAGAAAAAAGAACAAAGTTGGAAGACTAATATATTCCCACTTCAAAACTTACTACAAAGCCATAGTAACAAAGACTGTGTAGTGCTGGCTTAAAGGGTAGACATAAAGATCAATGAAATAGAATTGGGAGCCTAGACATAAGTTACTATAGATTGATATTCAAACAGTCTCTTTAGCAAGTGGTACTATAATAACAAGGAGAACACTGAAGATAATGGAAGCCTTACACCTTGCTGGAGGCAATGAAAACTGGTCCAGCCACTTGGGAAAACCACTTAGCACTGCCTCAAAAATGTTAAGCACAGTGCTACCATGCGACCTAATAATTGCATTCCTAGGCCATACCCAAGAAAGTGAGAATATATATGCACCCAAAAATCTGTACATGAATGTTCACAGCAGCATTCTTGATAATAGCCAAAAAAATAACAGAAATATTATAAAAAAATAGAAATAACCCCAACCAAAGGCTTCAACTAATAAAAAATGGACAAATAAAACATGGCATATCCATACAATCAAATATCATCCAGCAATGAAAAGCAGCTTGAATGAACCTTGAAAACAGTATGCTAAGTGAAAGAAGGTAGGACAAAAGACTACACATACTGTTCCGTTTTACATAAAATGTCAAAAACAGGCAAATCCATAGAGACAGATTACTGGTGGCATGAGACAGAGAAGTGGGACAGTAGGGGACTGGAATGGGGAGTGCTTGCCCACAGGTATGGGGCTGCTCTGAGGGATGATGAAGACCTAAAAACAGATTGTGTTGATGGCTGCATACTGTGAACGCACAATCACCCAGTGAACCGTATGCCTTAAATGGGTGAACTGTAGGGTATGTGAGTTATATCTCCATAAAGGCTGTGTAAAAAGCAAAAAAGTAAATTAGTGGTTGACTAGGGAGGAAGAAGAATGGGAAGCCACTGTTCATGACGAGGTTTACTTGGGGGGGTAATAAAAATGGTCTTAGGTTATTGTGACAGCTGTGAAACTCTATGAATACACGAAAAGTCACTGAATTGTATACTTTATAGGAGTGAATTTTATGCTATGTGATTTATATTTCCATAAAGATATTAAATGGGAAAAAGCACACTAGAGGCAGAAATTCCAGATGGAAACTCCTAATTCTAGTACGTGGTAAAGACAACCTGGAGTAGGGAAGTGGCAGGGAGGATGAGGGAAGGTAGATTTGGTGTTATTTATGTTTAATTTTATTAGAAATGGTAATATCCTAGAGGGGGTAGGTATATCAGCAAAGTCAAGAATGTCAGTGGGCATCTGGAAAATAAGAAGGATAAATAACAGTGGTACCATGTTGTAATCAGTTTGGTACAGGCTGAATATGCAATGGCCTATGACATATTGAGATGTCCCATAGCAATCAGACATAAAAACTGGAAATTTAGAAGTTAAAGATATGCACACAGAAGTGGACAAGGAAGGGTTACTCAGGCCCTCCACAGCACCGAGCAGGGCCCGTCATCAAGGCGGGCGAGTGGCCAGCCCCCAGAAGATAACCTCTAAGCCCACGGAGGAGGCTGCCTGCGCTGAGAGAGTTTCTGTATGCGTAGGCTTGAGCCCATGCTGCCCCACTGTGGCCAGGTTAAGTCCGCCCTAGCAATGGGATTAGTGGGGAACCTTTGTTTTGGCTCAGGAAGCGGGGTGGTGGTGCTGGACTGGGAGTAGCTGAGGTCAGGTGCAGGGGTGCTGTATGCATACGTGACTGGTCCCCAGTAAAAACCGTGCACAGGTTTGTGGTGCAGGGGAGCCTTACTGGTTAGCAACCCCTCCCGTGTGTTGTCACACATCATTGCTGGAAGAAGTAAATGCATCCATCCTTGTGTAATTCTCCTGGGAAGGGACACCTGGAAGCCTAGCCCAAACTTTGCCTGGTCTTTGCCTTGTGCTCCTTTTCTTGCTGATTTTGATCTGTATTCTTTTGTTGAAATGATCCATAATCACAGTGTTTAACCGATTTTCTGAGTCCTGCGGGTCCTTCTAGAGAATTATTGAGCTTGAAGGTGGTTCTTTAGCAAGAACTCATCTGTATACAAATGTCGGCAATAGGCAGGATTGCTTGGGGCATGTTCCTGGAGCAAGAGAAGGGTTCTGGACATCAACACAGAGTAACAGAAGAAGAGCCGCGTGGG